AAAACGGGCATCGCATCGACTGCGGCGATTTAAAGCGCGGTGGTCGTCGTGCAACGCGTGTTTGAATTTCATGTAAATAAACATTGTATTTTACACGCGTTGTATACGTCGCTATGAGTCCCATATAACAGGACGCGGTACGACGACTGCCGCCCTTTAAACTTTATGGAAACTTAAAGCACATTTAATGAATTATTAAACAGCAATATATACCACTTATTGAAACATTTTTATCGTACATACAATTAAAACTGTCAGCTTTCAACATATAACACGAATCTAATCTTACCCATTCTGTGTAATATATTGTCCCTTCATTAGTACTTGCCACAATATTGCGATTGGAACGTCCCTACTATTCATCAGGGATCAGGCAAACGAGGTTGATTTTATCTGATTGCTGTATGTAAATGAGTTCACTTCCTAAAAGCTTTATGTTCTGTTTAATCTATTGACCCCGTACATTTAACGAATTTGAACTTGGGAGACAATTACATTAATTAGGCAAATAGCAACCAAGCCAGCAATGAATTGTATAGCAGATATTTTATTTATTTGTGACACTACCAATTTTACCGCAAAATAAGATTGACATTACCAGTGCAGAATGCGTTGGGTGCAAACCTTTTGGAACAGGGGATCACTACCGGTAATTCAAAGTCCATGTTCATAACATAAAATTAAAAAAAAAGAAAACATGATTATTTGGCTCAAAGCAATAACATGAGTCAATAAGAGAAGTCTTATGACTTCTTTGCACAGTAATCAATTGTGCTATCACTCTTTCAATCACTTTTTTTTATTTGCCTCGTTCAAACTCTTAATCACATGCTCAATCTTCTGTGGAAAATGCACTCAAGTCTCCGTCTTCCATCCAGTTTCCGTTTGTACAGTCCCTCTATCAGACAGAGGGACTGTGCCATCTGTAACAATCAAGGTATCAGGAGAGATATGACATCAGAGGCCAGTAACAAACAAAATGACATCATATGCAAGAAATACACAAGGAGTATTTATCACATGCATGTGACCATTTTTGACCAATCACGTTGTCTGTTGACAAAATATTGTCCTCAAAGTCGATGTTATTTCCCCAAGAAAGAACAATGATGCAGCAAGTGAGGTTTGCATGGTGTTGAATAATATTAATGGCACAATTTTTTACAGATGTACCAAATATGATCTGTTGTATCATTGGGTAATGATTGAAACACAGAGAATGATTAAAAGATATGTAAATGAGACAAGTGATATACATCAGGTCTGTAGATTGAGCAACAATTTTATTCATTAAAATCATAGAATCAATAAATATATTTCAAGCATAAATCATACAAGATTATTAAGTACATGCATACAGGTTATTTTATAGGTTACTTCATAACTCACTCCATAAACAAGTTGTTTTCTGATTGGCTAGCTGATTAAGATTGAATAGCCAATTAAAAGCCCCCTTGCAAGGTACTTCAAACTCACTCCATAAATGATGCATCACTCATGATACAAAGCAGGAGTGTCCTGATTGGCTAACAAGTTGAATCAAGTAGCCAATGAAGAGCCTTATTACAAGTCATGTCTAAGGACGATTAATTCTTGTAAAAGATGTTGTAAAAATCTAGTTTTATTCCTGTCCAGCTTTT